AGATGTCTGTGGGCCACAGCAACCACTTACCACCAGGTGAACTGTGTGCTCGTTTGTCATCCTATCCTATAAAAAAACGTCGATTTCTTATAATTTAATCGTGCAAGATTTCGAATCATCATCATCATTACAGCTGTTCACAAGTCCACTACTGAACATCCTCCTCCACAGACTGCCGCAAAGCATGGTCCTGAGCCACTTTGCTCGTCATGAGTTTTTCATTTATGTTCTAAGTTATAATTAGTACCTATTATTAAGTCAGTGTTAATTATATTTATTGCTATTGTTTTTGTCTTTCTCAAAAAATAATTAAATTACCAAATAAATTATAAGGTGTTTTTTATATACATCAAGGCGATATTACGATAACACACTGGATGTTATTATTTTTTCATGTTTAAGACAAAATAAAAATAATTTATTTTAAAAAAGTGTTACCACGTTAACGACGACGACTTTATAATCATTGAAATCGGTTGACGTGGTAAAAAATTATGCCTTTGCAAATTGAAGTGTTTGACGATTTTGTCATAGATCCCATTATCAGATTTTGACCAAATTTTTATGGGACCACTCCAGAGATAACCCAATTCAACAAAAAAAGAATCATTGAAATTGGACAACGTAAATACATAAAAAATATCACAATCAACAACCCAATTCAACAAAAAAAGAATCATTGAAATTGGACAACGTAAATACATAAAAAATATCACAATCAACAATTGTACAACCTCCACAATTTATTGAAGTTGGTTAAAGATAACAAATAGGTAGCGTTTTTCTTTTGGATTGAAAATAGGTAATGTAGTTTTATGCTTTAATTCTTTGAAAAAAATTAATAAACGGATTTGTAACACAATTATTATCTTATCTTAACCAAATGCTGGTTGTAAACGATAGGTTTTAGAGTAATATGATGTAGGTAACCTCGGCGCCTCGTAATCCTCACAAAAAGTCACATTGTTTAGGTATGAAGCCTCGAACTGCACTAACTTTACCAAGAGTAAAAATTCGATAAATGTGCTTCAAGTACAGTAAATTGTAGCAGTACGTGAAATCCTTTAATCATCCATAAACTTATGAAGAGCAGCAACTTTATAAGATATTTTTTCAAAATAATACATATACTTATCGTAAACAAAAGATACAACGGCGATGAATAAACCCGGTGATTAACCTTGACACGTGTTTTGTAACATCACAGCCTAGCAACCGTAAAATAAATAAAATGCAGCTCACCTGTGCGCAAGGTCTCTCTTATCGAACCATGTGCTATGCATTGTACTCAGGGATTCCGCGAAACTGTCAAGTTCCAGTTCACTCTTTTCGCTTCTCCCCAATGGTTTATCAACTCCAACTACAGACTTGTCAGGTATTTCTACGGCTTCGTCGCCAGCGAGAAACGTAACTACCGGTTTTCGTTTAGAAGACGAGTTTGCGCGTGCGCGTATATCGTTAGGATTTAACGCTGGCGATAGCGGATAAGCGCTTTCGAACCCGTCTGGCATTTTATAATAACGTGTTTACAAAAATCAACTTTACTGAAAATACTGACCGATCTCAGCAAATACTAAAATCGTACTGTTCATTATTTAGCAACAACACTTGAAACCTATTATAATTATTACACATTAACCCCCTAATCGATAACTTTTTGACCTATCACATTCTGACCTAAACTTTGGATCATACAGTTCTTATCAACTGACCATATCATTGCTAAATAATCTACATCGCTCACTTTTTTAGCTCAAGTTTTTTTTTTAAATGTAAATACAAATTATCATGAATTCCATAAAATTCACAAAAATTAATAAAAATACACCAGCTGTAATAAGATTTCAATTAAAAGAAACACATAATACATTTTGGGTTTCTTATGATATTGTATATGATAGTAGATAGATAGTCTTTATGATAGCGTATATGAACTACTGTAATGGTACCTAGGGTGGATGCCACATATACCAGCTCACCACTAATACCAGCCTTCTCGCCTTTTTACTTTAAATAATGTGGTTTTTATTTTTAGTGATCTTAGCTACAAATTTTGTCAACTAAAAATATTCTTCAGGATGATCAGAGAAAGGTACATTTCAAATAACACCACACAGTTACGAGTCTATCAGTGTTAAGTTTAGAATTAAAAACCCTACACAATAGAAACGCTCATTTTTCTAACTTTTGCCAAGTAATGATGCAGATAAAATAGATACTTTGAAAATGGGGCGCATAAGACCTTACCCATATACCCATACCCTTAACCGACGAGCGTGTATGTGTAGAGATATGGATGTAAAGGAGGCAAGAGAGATGTGTCAGGGTCGTGCCAAATGGAAGTCTGTATTCTCTGCCTACCCCTCTGGGTGAAAGGCGTAAGTGTTTGTTGTGTTTATGTTGTGTTTATGTTATTTTTATGTTATATTAATGTTGTGTTTAAGTTATATTATGGGACCACTCCTGAAGTATAACCTATTAAATTAACCAAGAAACATTTGAATTGGTTTAGCCATTTCTCAGAAATTAGTGAATATACATAAAAAATGAATAGAATGGGCGTATTTTGGGTCCGTGTCGTAGATTTTCTATGATAGCATCGCTTGCAGCGTTTTTTAATTTCCTATTTGACGTTAACTGAACAGTGGCACTGACCTATAGGCTATTTTGGATTCTTATTGAGATGAGCTTTACTATGACTTGCGATTTCTATAATTCCGAGCATATTTACGGTTCACCTAAGATGATATCTTTAATTTTTTTAAATTTTCAATTTAATACCGATTTTTACTTATATTCTGCCATTTCTTTTTTATTCATAGAGAGACACACTTTGGGTCCTTGTACTCGTAGTTCCCTGAAAACTCTTCACAATGACATTGAATATTCACTTAAACTAGTCCAATTCTGATGACTTCAGAGGCAAAACATATTTTGAATCCCGTCCGTCCACCCGTTGTGAGCTTTTTTAATTTTTATTAAATTTTTTTTAAAAAAAAACTGTCATTCAAATCTGATAATATTTTGTAACCAAAGTTCGTAAAAAAATATATATATATTATTACTATACATTTCCACAGTAACCAGGGCATATACATTTTACATCAAAAAAATCATATGCATAGAACCTTATTTTTTTTAACTTCCCGGGGTTTCACCCCGATTTTCGTAAATCAGTTTTCATCAGATCCGAAGTTTTGGGAATCCAATCCCAAGAAGCTATTCTGATTAATTTCATGTGGATGTATGTATGTATGTATGTGTGTGTGTGTGTGTGTGTGTGTGTATGTATGTATGTATGTATGCGTGTGTATGTATGTATGTATGTATGCGTGTGTATGTATGTGTGTGTATGTATGTATGTGTGTATGTATGTGTGTATGTGTGTATGTATGTGTGTGTGTGTGTGTATCTATGTAAACTTTTCATCACTTTTGAATGTGTTGATCGATTGAGCGATTGATTGGCGTTCTAAAGATCTCAATGTGGAATAGATTTGGTGATAATATGAACTGACTCGGCCAAGTAGATTTTGAGAAATCTCAAAAATAAAAATTTTCAAAAACTTTTTGGAATAATTTTTAAACAGCTTTACCGATCGATTTCAAAAACTAATCAGCTCTTAACCTCAAAAAATGACGTCAAATGCCGTTTGGAAAACAAAAATCAGTTCATTTGTTCATGAGATATCGAAAGAGAAAGAATTCGAAAAAAACTTTTTTAACATTACTTCGAGATTTGACAACATAATTTGTTGAAATTTGGAGCGCTTTGCATTTGAAATTAGTGGGAAGTTCCAGGGATGGCCTGCAAGGTCAACCAAGTTTTTTAAACTAAATGATGTAGGTGGCTCAGGTCTGTGTTTTGTGTCATTCCTTTGTTCAACTTTGGACTAGTAGCTCTTATGTGCATGAGGTTGGTATCCTCAAAAAAAGGAGATATGATAAAATTTTCTCTCAGTTTAAGTGCTCAATTTTGTGTCTTTTAAGGATGAACGTTGATTAGATTTAGTTGCATCTAATCCACGACTGTTTAACAAATACTCGACTTCAGACCCAGAGTCACTACACATTTAAAATATTTGCACAGTTGGTGTATAGAGCATCATCAATGCTTGTCATCTGTACTTATAACAATGAATGTTTTTAATTGGCAACATTAAACTGATATGCAAAAGAAATAGAGTATGTAGCTGATAGCATATTGTCTTGTAGAATACTAACATTTACAAGCTTGGAGTACAAGCACGCTGCTGCTTCTTCAGTAGAACAACTGGTTCAATCCCACACAAAAAATGCAGTAGTGTACACACTTTATGAATGTGAAATGCCTCCATGATACAGGCAAAAATTCTAGTGTGATGGTAACGTTTTAAAAAAAAAACATGAGAAAATCCAATTGACAAAATAGTGATGTGTATTTTTACTTGAGTTGAAGTAGGCTAAAGTAACACACACACACACACACACACACGCACACACGCACGCACACACCAAAAACACACATATTATACTGTGTGAATAATATTTATATCTACCATGAGGTAGCCACATAGAGAATCTATCACTCCATTTTGTCCCATGTGTGTTGAAAGAGGAAACTATGGGACATGGCAAATAACTTCTGATAAATGGTGATATAACCATTGTTATTTCTTCAAGGCATATTATACCCAGACTGATAATAGGAAATCTCTGGTACTAAATCACTGCACCATTAATCTTACATTTTGATAAGGAATATTCCACAGAAGCAAAACTATTATCACAAACCTGCTAATTTTGACCACATCCTGCCTTAACGGAGAGATTTATATCCAGCCCTATATTTTTATAGAAGATGGAAGGATAACATAGTAAAGTATTTATTAACAACTTCAAAAAACCATTTAAAAATATTCATAAAATGCTACTAACAAAATGTTATTGTATGATATAATTTTAAACTTTAAGTTTTAATATTAGCTTACATTTAAAAATATGAATTTAAACATTTATTACCTGTGTTCAGCTCTTCGGTAATATTTTTTTGACAACTTAGAATTTTCTTGTGTTACCAAATTGTTTTTGCAAATCTCCATTTTGTTATGAGTTTGTCTAATTGACTTAATTTGATAGGTTAAGCTTGAGCAGTTCCTTCTTTGGTTTTTTTGAAGTCTTATTCTCAAAAGTTTATACATGCACCTGAAATATCAAACCAGTAGTAACATTTAATTGCCATAAAAACATTCTTAGAACTAAGGAGGCCCAGATGTGAGGCATATATAGGCTGTAACTATTATGAATGGGTCATCTCAAGAGATGAAGGACCACACTCGCAAAGAACATCATCACAACATAGCAGCTTAATGCGGCTGTGTCTCATATGGTTAGTGTAGAGAAGCAGAGACCCGTTTTAGTGGTAACTAGGCAAACCTTCACAGTCATGGGGTGACAAGTAATCAACATTTTGATTTATAATTGATGATAGATAATATTGTGTTGGTATAGACCATAATGTTACCTTACTGTGAGATAGTATTCTTAACGTATTTAGTTTTGTTACAAGCAAAATATGGTTAGGGTAAATAACATAATCATTTGAAGGAAAATTAATTTATGGAAATCTTGTAGAAAAAACTTAGCATGCGCAAATATTTTATAGCAGGATAGGATTAATTAAAATAATTATATTAAGCTATAAATAATTTTACCAACGCAGTTGCAGGCTGCAGTAGTCTGTAAACTGCAGACTACTACTTTTTATTATACCCAAAATCAAAGAGAATATACGCTTAGTAATCACTACATTAGTATCTTATGCACGTACTCTCCATATCTTTAGCATAATACCTTAGTATCTCTGCTCTAACGAGAGATTATTAAAAGTAACTAATAACTGTCCTATTCCTATCCTATTGGAGATAACTACAAATACAACGCTGTCAAAGTTAGATTCATATTGTTGTTTTTATTATTCGGTCGAGAGAGCAGGCAAAGGAACTAAGCCATACAGTCTTATATTTTTTTTTTATTTGCATATAGAATTTTAAAGTGTAAAGGCCGAAACCAAGTCTTATTTTCTTTTTTTCATCTCTTCAAAACCCATCAAGGCCGAAGCCACGTCTTATTTTCTTTAATTCTTCATATTTTAAACCACAAAGGTTAAAGCCAAGTATTCTTTATATTATAATCTTTATAAGTTTCAACCCATATAGAATTATCAGTCCAGTTTCAAGGTTCCCGCGCTTATTTTTCTTTTCTTCACAATATGCTGATGCATCACATTTCGAAGCCCTTGGGAGATTTTGACGACAGCTCAACCCAGCGGACAGTTGATGACGACAGCCACTCAAGTTCATAAGGCGCCTAAGCGATCAAAATAACTTGAGGTTTATATCGACACCAAAGCACTTGTTTCGTCGTTTTCTCAAATAGTTCACACGCGTTCATACTTAATTAACAAAATTGCATCATTACGATTCAAAAGCCAATTCAAACCATTATTCAAGCGACAAAACAGGAGCGACAATTCGTCTACGGCGAAGTTCCCGCCAAAACTCTTATGAGCTCACGCATATGAAGTTTCCATAGAGTTATAATACTTATGGAGGCGGCATATTCTACTATAGAAACAAAAGTTATACATATGGAGTGTAGAAGTAAGGACTACAGACGGTTTATTAAAAAGTGTCCATAGAAAACCGTTAAATAAGGGTGGCGCCACTATAGCTACGGGCTGAATTTTAAAGAACGTGTCGAAAAATATTAGTGGGATAGACGACTTTTTTGAGGTTATATTTACTAAATTATTTTACATTTTAGAGCTACCGAGCAGTTTAGCAGCACAATTCAAACCGTTGACAACTGCTAAGTTCATTTCATCCCAGTAGCTACCCTAGCGCTGTTATGGAGAGTTTTTGAACTGTTATTTACTGCTTAGAGATGGACACTTTTTCAACTATTCTACTATGGGAGTTGGTACACCTTACTTCTAGAAAAAGTTATACAACTATGTATAATATCGACACACACTTGTCAAAAACACTTTTGTTATTTTTAATAAAGGAGTAGCTTCATTAGAAAAGGGGGACAACTACAGTTTGTCAATTGCTTATTTTGACAACATTTTCGTGTGACGTCATTAGCTCATCTACGCGTGACTACCTCGCTATGTTAAGCGCCAAGTTTTGTGGTAGATCTGCTGTCAAATTGTTGCATGCTAAAAGTTTTTTGTTGTGTAGTGCAGTGCCTTCATCTTATCTTATTGTGGATGTTTTTTTTCAATGTACTTATATTTTATTATGTTACTAGATGACCCTAACAACCTAAAATTGAATTGATTGTAACGCGTAATTATATAATTATAATAATAAAAAATTATTGAGAAATAAAGCCTTAAACATAACACAATGTTATCGTAGATTAATTGTAACAAAATGGCTAGCATAAGGGACTTATAGATAAGTTGATCCCCTGACTTCGAGATAACCTGTGTTATGAAATTCAGTGGTTCGGCTCCTTAAAACGTATTCTATATAACAGCATAGCGAGTTGATTTAATTGGTGATTACATTATGGCGAGCATTTGAAGAGCAGGCAGTTAAGGAAAAGGAAAATACAAAAAAAAAGTAAAACAGTATAGTAATGATAATGTATGGGATGGAGTGTGTGTGTGTGTGTGTGTGTGTGTGTGTGTGCGTGTGAAGAGCAGGCAGTTAAGGAAAAGGAAAATACAAAAAAAAGTAAAACAGTATAGTAATGATAATGTATGGGATGGAGTGTGTGTGGATTATGCAAATGACTTGCGGAACAAAATGAATGACGTTTATGAGCACGTAAGACAATCCGGCCAGCAAATGTCTGAAAAGATGAAAATCCGGTACGACCACAAAATGAACAACAAAGGGTTCGACGAAGGTTCACTTGTGTTGTTGCACAATCCAGTCCGCAGCAAAGGGAAATCTCCTAAGCTTCAAGCTAAATGGGACGGCCGTACCGGATTGTGACCAGGATCAACGATGTAACCTACCGGATACAGAAAGGCGCAAGAGGGACTCCTAAGATCGTCCATGTGGATCGCCTGGCGCGTTATTATGGGGCCGATAATGCTCGGGACGAGCATGTCTTAGGAGGGGGCGGTGTTACGCGCCTAAGTCGACGGCACTAGCGCCATCTAGTCTCGAACCGAAGAACTAAACTTCTTGAAGTTGAAACTCGAAGTCTCGGTACCTTGCGCGTGTTAATTAAATATTCTGGATATTTCGGTGCTAATTTATATTTATAGGCACTGTAAGATGCGATCGGGGAAGTATTGAATTCGGCGAGACAAGCGAAGCTTCGGAGCGAAATAGAGTGAATTAGTGTGCTTAATTATTAGTGTTAAGTTTTAATTTGTGTAAAGAAAATTTAAGTGTTAATTTAGGTAATTTTATCGGCAATTTTTATTGTCACGAACCTCAAGCTCGTAACAATATTTTGGTCAACAACTAAAATGTTTTTCGAAATTATCCATGAAAATGTCCGCCATAAGTGGACTTAGAGGGGACTCCATAGCTAACCCTTCTTTTTGTAGATAGAAACGGTTATTAAACCGGAAATAATTTTGTTTCATACAGAGAGAGGTTAAATTAAGAAGATCATTTGTTTCCCCGGGATATAGACGAAGTTTTTCAAAGAGATCTGAGAGTATACGCAGTCAGGAGATGGGACATTTGTGAAAAGACTATCAAAGTCTAAAGATAACAATATAGATTTAGGTGGAATACGAATATCTTTAATTTTGGAAATGAGATCTAAACTATTTTTAAGGCTGTAAGTCGGGTTGAAACCAGATTTCTCCCGAAGGAGGAAATTTAATTTTTTTGCAAGGAAATAAGCTGGTGCACCTATATATGAGACAACTGGACGAATAGGAACATGTTCTTTATGTAATTTAGGTAACCCATATAAAGTGGGTGCTTGAGGATTCATTGGAACAAGATTGCTCCTAGACAACGACTTGTATCTTCTTCATCCCGTAAACGTAATGACGACATACATACTGAATATCACCAATTTTATCCCCGTGTTAAAAATCTTTCCGATGTCCAGTTTCCAACGGATGAGGTGTGTGAGTAGTGGTGCTGGGATTAGTGGTGACGGAGTTAGTGCATGCAATTGAGGGAGGGCGGGAGGTGCTCTTCAATCCAGGTAAGACACATCATTGTATTTGTTTGGCGGAAGGTTGCGAAAAAATTTATATTTTTATTTTTTATTATAATGGATTTCCGCAAAGTGACGCCTGATTCTATCAATTATCTTAAAAAGGCTAGCACGGCCGAACAGGCAAGACTCTATGTTAAATTAACAAAACTACATCGTATTACTGCTCAAAATGTTTGGTTTAATCAGCAGTGCAAACAACTTCATGTTTAAGGATTAGAGTAAAAACAATTAATACATTAGACTCGAAGCAAAGCTCAATTGGGAATGACTGGAATTAAAATAAATACTACTATTTGTAAGTACACGCCGAAAGACCGACAAAGGAAAGTTCGGCATCCTTGATAAAATTAATGATTCTTCAGGAGATTAATAAAGTAGATGCGTTGCCAGATAGGTATAGTGTGCCTACGTAAAAATGAAATGTGTAAATATAATTGTGTATATTATGTTCTTGTGATTGAATTAATCTACGTTAATTAAAATAAATTTGCCTTGACTCGTTTGAAATTCAAAATTCAAATATGTTTTATTCAAGTAGGCATTAAAAATACACTTTTGAATATAATCACTGTATTCCCCAATTTTTTCTAATCACTGTATTCCCCAATTTTTTCTTTTCCATGTCCAGGGGTTCTGATTCTACTAAGAAGAATCATGGGAAAAAAGTAAGAAACTCAGTAGTTGCTCTTTTCAAAATATTTTTACAATAGTTCTATAATTATGTAAAGAGATAAGTCAAACATAAAATGTCAAATGTATATGTAGATACTAAATCGGTTTAGAAATTTCTAGTTAGTCCTGTGTAGTACGAGAGGTCAGTTCCAAGCATTTTTGTCTGACTTAAATTGAAAAGGTGAAAGATCTAACATTTCTTTTGGAATCTTATTATATAAGCGTATATCGCTACTCAAGAACGCATTATATACTTTGTGTAACCGGAAAGCAGGTATTGTGATTTTATTTTTATTTCTACTATTAAAATTGTGCAAATCACTGTTATTTACATCAATTCAATGCAATCAATTTCTTTAAACGGTTCTCTAAGAGATACTCGGGCTCCTAAAAAGTACATAGTTCTTATTTTACGCTTTTTATTTAATATGCACACTTTTTATATTATTCGATTAGCATTGTACAAAATGTTTACACGTTTCAAGTGTGTTAAAAGTGTCAATATTTATCAAATGGGTGACGACGACATATTCGAACACTTTGTGTTCAAAAACACACACTTCCAAAAATCGAGATTTGCAGTGAAATTATTGAATATGTTTATCTATTAGGTAATAATAATAATAGTAAGTAATTATTATAAACCCATATAGTTAATATTATAATAATTACTTACTAGAATAAATTATTATGGTATCTACCTATCCTTACCATTATCTAATTACAATATTCCTTGTGAGATCAGCATAATGTATTCGTGTCCATTCTGAGCACCCGGAAACTTATTTTATTCTTTCTAACATGTACTCTGTAGCGGCATTCAAACAGTGTCAAATGTAGTGCGTGCAGCGCGGCGGCGACGATTGAATGCGATATCAATAGAAGCCGCCGGCGCGTGTATCTTGACCTTGTACTTCCGAATAGCT